CACAGTGATGCTCATTTTGATGATAGTGAGGCCTCGAAAATGAAGACGGTGCAGGAGATATTACGACTAACAGCAAATAGCTGAAAGCAATGGTTTTGGCAAATGCCTGAGGTATCGGACAAATTGTGAAACACCATAGCCGAGTTAAACCCATTGTGAGCTATAAGACGACGACACATAGCACGTAAGCATAAGACAAAATAGAAGTTGAATAGTGGGCTAAAAACGTTGACCGCTCAACTTCTTTCTCTCTACTTCTAAGATTATATAGATCATCTCGAAAACGTTGTTGGAAAAACGATTCAAAAGAAACCGATACCAAGCTAACTACAATTTTTGCTTTCGCCACTCCAAAACTCAATATAACCAAAATTACATCTTCTTGGCAAGGATGTGCAGATTGTTATAGTTTAGCCCAAATGGTAAGGTCACTCCTGTGCTAATTCCAAAATATTCAAGTAAAAAAAATCACATTTAAAATGCGACAATATGCCTTTTTCTCATGAATTGTGCTTTTGTGCCAAACCGCATATCTTCTGCGCCCATTCTTGTCTGCCCAATGGCCTGATTTGAACGCCGAGGCATGCGACCTTTTCAGCGATTTTGAAGCATATTCTCAAAAATTCTGCTTTTGATCAAAACTGGATGCTTCCCCTTCACTTCTCACCATTTTTCTTTACTCTTGCAACTTTTCGACAGGAGGACCGGGCTCAGTTCCTACATTGCGAAAAGTATACAAACAGGTAAAGCGGGGAAAACACTGACATCAACCACTAAATTTTTCAAGCTCTTTCATTTTGAAAAGCCTCATCCGGTGTTTACTCACTTTCTGATTACATGAGTTAACACTTATTACATTTTTGAAGCTACAAGAAAACGAAGATCTTGCATAAATGTGAGTGGAAAAAACTCACAAACTCGAAAGGATCTTCGTTGTAGATGCACCTTGCTACAGCTCTGTCCACGGATGTGTCTGCATACGGCGGTGATGACGGCCGGCTCACTCGGTTGTAACGATGCAACGGGGACATTGCTGTAAGGAGAGGTGGGCTTTTATTCATATAAAAATAATCATAGTGAATCGGCGTTAGCTCCAAAAAACTTCTTTTTAGAATGTTACGATGGCAATTAAGGGATTGAAATGTGAACAAACTAACCGCTGAGTTGTTCAAGCACATAAAATTGTGCCTTTTCAGCAAATTCATCCCTTGTCCTTGGAACGGGAA